GAAAAGAAGAACTCAGATTAGCACTATTTGCTGATGACATAGTTCTATATCTAGAAGACTCAAAAAATCCCACCAGGAAACTTCTAGAACAAGTAAATGAATTCAGCAAAGTAGGAGGACACAAAATCAACACCCATAAATCAAAGGCATTTCTGTATATCAGAGACAAATCCTATGAAAGGGAAACAAGAAAAACCACCCCATATAAATAGCCTCAAAAAAATAAATATGTAGGAATTAACATAACAAAAGAGTTGAAAGATTTCTACAATGAAAACTACAGAATGCTAAAAGAAGAAATTAAAGAAGACCTTAGAAGATGCAAAGATCTTCCTTGTTCTTGGATAGGCAGAATTAATATTGTCAAAATGATCACACTACCAAAAGCACTATACAGATTTAATGCAATTCCAATCAAAATCTCAATAACATTTCTCATAGAAATAGAAAAAGCAAACATGAAATTCATCTGGAAAAATACTCTTTTCCAGAATAGCCAAAGCAATCCTTAGCAAGAATAGTGAAGCAGGTGGCACCACTATACCAGACTTTAAACTATACTACAGAGCAATAGTAACAAAAATGGCATGGTATTGGTACCAAAATAGACTTGTAGACCAATGGTACAGAATAGAGGACACAGAGACAAACTCTCATAATTACAGTTATATTAAACAAAGGCCCCCAAAACGTACATTGGAGAAAAGATAGCCTCTTTAAAATATAGTGCTGGGAAAACTGGAAATCCATATGCAACAAAATGAAATTAAACCTCTATCTTTCACCATGCACAAAACTCAATTCAAAGTGGATCAAGGACTTAGGAATTAGACCAGAGACCCTGCACCTAATAGAAAAAAAAATGTAAGCCTACATCTCCATCATGTCTGATTAGGCTCCAACTTCCTTATTAAGCCTATTATAGCACAAGAAATAAAATCAAGAATCAATAAATGGGATGGATTCAAACTGAAAATCTTCTCCTCAGCAAAAGAAACAGTCAGTGAGGTGAAGAGAGAGCCTACAGAATGAAAGCAAATTTTTACCACATGCACATTAGATAGAGCACTAATCTCTAGGATATATAAAGTACTCAAAAAGCTAAACACCAAAAAAAAATACCCCAATCAATAAATGGGTAAAGGAACTGAACAGACACCCCGCAGAAGACACATCTCTAGCAATTAGAGAAATGCAAATCAAAACTACTCCAAGATTTCATTTCACTCTATTCAGAATGGCAGCTATTAAGAACACAAAAAACAATAAATGTTGGTGAGGATGTTGGGACAAAGGCACACTCATACATTGCTTGTGGGACTGCAAATTGGTACAGCCAATATGAAAAACAGTATGGAGATTCCTTGGAAAGCTGGGAATGAAACCACCATTTGACCCAGCTATCCCTTTCCTTGGTCTATACCCAAAGGACTTAAAAACAGCATACTACAGTGACACAGCCACATCAATGTTTATAGCAGCACAATTCACAATAGTTAAATCTTGGAACCAACCCATATGCCACTCAGCAGATGAGTGGATAAAGAAAATGTAGTATATATACACAATGGAATATTTCTCAGCAATAAAAGAGAATAAAATCATGGCATTTGCAGGTAAATGGATGGAATTTTAGAATATAATGCTAAGTGAAGTTAGTCAATCTCAAAAAACCAAAAGCCAAATATTTTCTCTGATGTAAGGAGCCTGATTCATAGTGGGATCTTGGGAAGGCGAGCATGGGAGGACTAGACAAACTCTAGATAGGGTAAAGGGGTGGGAGGGAAAGGGAGGAGGAAGGGGGATTAAAAAAAAAGATGGTGGAATGAGATGGATATCATTACCCTAAATACATGTATGAAGAAACGAATGGTGTGACTCTTCTTTGTATACAACCAGAGATATGAAAAATTGTACACTCTCTTTATAATATGAATTGTAATGCATTCTACTGTCATATAACAAATTAAAATAAGATAAGAAAAAAAGATTTACAAATGGCTTAATGACCACTATTTATTTTTACACTAATAATATTACATTGATTGTTTATAGCTGTATAACAACCCCTCAGTTATTTTTTATAAGTTTATTGTCTTCTAGATCCTTTAGGTGCCTCTGGTTCAACATCTTTTATAAGGCTGCATTCAGGGTATAGGCCAGGGCTGCAGCCTCATCTGAAGGATTGAGTGTGAGAGAATTTGCTTCTGAGCTCACACATGTTGTTGACAGAATTCTGGGCCATTTGGCTGAGGGCCTCTCTTCCTCATTAGTTACATGCATGGGATCCTTCACAGCAAAGCTAACATCAAGGCGAGCTTCCATCAGAGTATGTAGGCAATATAGCTACAGCAGATGAGCAAGACAGAAGTCATAGTCTTTTGGGAACCTAGTCTTAGAAAGAAGTCACATCTCATCATGTGAATGGATTATATTCATAGGAAGTTAGTCACTAGACTCATCCTTCACTCAAGAAAAAGAGATTGCTGCTAGGGTGTGAATACCTTCAGAAAAAAAATTATTGGCAACCATGTTAACCTATTACAAATACTCACCAATCTTTTCTTTGGTAAAGGACTTTTTCTATATTTCTTACTATCTAATTTACTGCTTATCCAGTGATATTTATAAAATAGAAATGGTTCATCTGTGATGAAGCCTGCCATCTCATCAGGCAAGTATAGGTAGGATGCTGAATCAAGACTCAGAGTTAGAGGCAGGAGAAGTTTCTTAGTCCTAGTGATATCTAAACAAGACTTGAAGGAAAAGTAGGTATTGACCCAGGAAGACAAGGGCAAGGTAAGGATGTCCTAAGCAGTGGGCAAAGCATATATCTACAAAGGTCTGAAGTTGAGAATCTATTATGATGTTCACTGTCTACACCCATAATCTTATCAGAGTATTTCAGTTTGTGAGAATTCTTAATGATGTTGTTTTAAACTGATGGGAATACTAATATTAAATTTATGATTATTTCTCTTTTGTCAGAGTAGTTTTCTAAACTCAGTCCCACAAAATATGTATTTCCTTAAGAACTCTGAAATTTTCTTGTCCAATATACCAACTGTATTGCCTTCTCTTCTAATTTTGCTTCTGCCAATGGTGATATCCTAAGGCTGAGCCTATAAAATATAGGTGTATAGTAAATTTAACAGTTTTATTATATTAACTTGATCAATTTGTTAACTCAACCTGACAATTAAATTCAAATTTAATATCTTTTGCTCTAACATAGAAGATAAAATGCATTGGAGAAGTGTTAGATACTCTGAATCTCTTACTTCCTATAGGCATTGGATCTACATGTCAATGGTGAATATTAACATGTTTTGTGTAATTGGTTTCAAGTCTCCTGATAAGCAGGACAAGAGATTCTTTATAATTAGTATTTAAGAAGGATGGTTGGTATATAATCTCCATTTTCCTAAAATAAACTGATATTTTACTTTCCAGAAAAAGTGTTAGGATAAATGACTACATACAACCTTAAGATAGAGATCTGATTATTATTAAGAGGTATGAATACATTAAATTTTTTTGGCTCTAATTTTTAAAGCTTTTATTGTGTAACATTTTGAACACACACAAGAATAAACAAAATAGAATACCCATGATCCTTCTTTAATAATAATTAACTCCTGACCAATCTTTCAACACCTACACCTCAACCATCCCTTCATGTATTATTTTTGAATTTTATTCCCTGTCCTGTATCATTTCATCAGCAGATATTTTGGTATTTTCCTCTAAAAGAGAAGCAGTCATTGTTTTAAAATAAAATTACAGTACCATTTTCCTCCTGAATAAAGAAAAACATTTGCTTATTATTGTCAAATAATTATTCTTTTATTCTTGTTTTTACTTTCTTTGTAAAATAAGATGAATGGATAGATAATTTGTGGTTCTCATTCAGGGATGGATTTTACCCACTAGGGGGACATTTGGCAACACTGGAGGGTTTTTTTTAATTTATTTTTTTTTTTTTTTTTTTTTTTTTTTGCAATCAGGGATTGTTACTGGCATCTAGTGGGTAAAGCCAGGGATGCTGCTAAACATACAGGATAGGGCCCCAAAATGAATTGCTTTTTCCACAATATCAATAGTGCTACTGTGGATAAACCCAGAGAAGGGGAGAGAGAGATAGAGAGAGACAGACAGACAGACATTAGTGATCTATGTCAATTAATAGAACATTTGTTCCAGGTATGGATAACGTAGCTCAGAAAAATACAGCACTTCTCACTTGTGCAGCAGAATCAAATTAAGTAATGAGCAAAATGTTTAATAAATATGGGTAGAATCTGTGTTCTGCAGCAAAAGAAAAACCTAGAAAAAATTATTTTGAATTTGCTAAACAACAATCCGTCAGGAATGATTTTCTTTCGTATAAAGTGATGCTGTGAATGTTAATGCTTGTGGCATAGTTTTAAGATGAAAATTAGTATGAGTTACTTGAATTCAGGCAGAACTTGCTTGTTATTCTCCACAGAATCCTGGCAATAATTTACCTAGCAGCACAGTAGTTCACGCACATCAAAGCAGCCTTCTTTAAGTGTGTCCAGCGGGCAGATTTTTAGCTCTGTGACTTATACTTGGAAAAAAAAAAGTTCCCTTCTTGAGAGACAAAACATGTTTAACTAAGCACTTCATGTAAATCCTACACTGTGTAAACTCATATGAATTCCTCTTGTTATTTGGGAAGAAGCCCCTCCATGCCTCAAATACTCTAAAATCTGAGGCAAAAAGAGAACAAATGTGGGAAAGCCAGTCTCCTCAAATGAACAGCAACGTGTTTTTATTTAAATTAAACTTGAACATGAACTAGATTCAGGAGAGGAAATGGCAGAGGAGAGTCGGGAGTTGCTATAGGATGTGTCTGCCTGCTTCGGGCTCTCAGACAAGTGAAGTCCAACTCTGACATTTCAGGCAATTTGTATACCAAGCTCCTCCTTTTCTGCAGCCTTCTTTTCCATTGGTAAAATTCTTTTGCAGGGTCAAGTAGGGATCCCACCCCTTCTCTGTGTTTTCACTCTGAAGCCCTATACAACTTTACACCTGAATGAACGCCAAACCTCTGTGGATATATAAAGGGAACCTTGAGGAGGAATTTCACAGCTACAGTGCAGAAGCAGAGGGACAGGAACAAACCAGCTCTCCAGTCAAGCAGATCCTCTACTCACCATGCTTCCTCCTGCCATTCATTTCTATCTCATTCCCCTTGCATGCATCCTAATGAAAAGCTGTTTGGCTTTTAAAAATGATGCCACAGAAATCCTTTATTCACATGTAGTTAAACCTGTTCCAGTACACCCCAGCAGCAACAGCACGTTGAATCAAGCCAGAAATGGAGGCAGGCATTTCAGTAACACTGGACTGGATCGAAACAGTAAGTGTGTTCTACTTTGTGTAGATTTTCTTCTTTTTTGGTAGCATTAGCTCACATTCCCGTAAAATCATTCCATTGTTAACTAACTTGAACTATATATATTTTGCAAACAATCTGGGAGCAATCTGCTGCATGCATAGATTGGCATTCTTCCTTAGGTAGTGATTTTAGAGTTAGCGTAATGAAAACAGTGGCTTCATAATGCTAGTACAAAGTTTAGTTTTACAAACATCCACAAAGAAAATGTACCTAAGAATTAAGTTGTTGCTTTTCTTAAAACTATGCAAAAATGAGAATTTTTAAAAGCATTGTTCTACATCATTTAAGTTTAGGTTGTTTTATCACTTTACTTCACGACCTGTGCAATTTTGGTAGAGTGTATAAAGGTAGCTCATATAGGAGATAACAAGAGGAAAAGGCAAGCTTTCAGAGGAGGGGAAAAAAAATTGTCCACGTGGATTTCTATAACACTTCTACTGAAATGTTTAAGGTTTTGATGATGCTCAATGTAAAAGAGGGATTAAACTCAAAATGTTGGAGCCACATTTTTCTGAAATAATTTCTTATTAAAAAAATCAAATTTTAGGTAATTATATATTTCTGTGAAATATGGAGAACCTTTTTATGACTTAAGATATTTAAAATGACAGTAATGTTTTGTACAGGAAGCATTCTTTTGCCCTTTTCTGTTTAATTGGCACACTAATTGACCACTAATTAAGAGGATTCAAATTTCTTCTAACTTTTGTTTCATTCTTTCCCTTAGAAGAGTTCACATGCTAATAATCGGGTTTTAAGAGAGACAGAAACAGTGTACAGGAAATCTTCACAAATCATTTTGCACCTCCTCCTTAAACTCCATTCAACTGTTAAAGTAGTTTTGACCTCTGAAAAGTCAGAGCTAAAAAGACTGGTAATGTCTTCCTAAGAAATCCAAGGTGTTTTTATTTTCGTGAAGATGTATGTTTTTAAGAACATAGGCATATCTGATTACTATTATATTACTATGCAATGTGGTGGGTATTCATTGTCAATGAACTGTCATTGCAAAAATGCTGAATCTACGTGCACAGGAACAAAAAACTAGACAAATCAAAATCATCTCTGGCTGTTTCCAGGTGCATTCCTAAGGCAGCTGCAGGAAGGTGAGCTGGGCTCAGAAACAGGCAAGCCCAGCACACTGCCCAGGCAAATTGTTTAACCTTTAATTTCAGTCCCACAACTCTAGATCTATATATATGTACGTGTATACACATATATTTTCCCACAACTATCACATTTCCCTTAGGCTATATCTCTTACCTCAGAAGTGCTAGGGCACAGAAATGAAGTAAAACTCCTAATCCACATTATAATTAGAGTTACCTTGCAGTATTCTATGTACAACCACTTCAGTGTATTTTATATTTTATATTTTTAAACATTTCGTCAACTTATGCTTTTAAATGTTCTTTTTAAAATATTGGTTAACAGGACTTGATTTCTTTCCAAGTTTGTTATAAGCAATTCTCCTAAAGTTTAGATAACAAAACAATGGTAAGAAAAACTTTAAATATTTCAAGATTAATTTTTATTTTAATTACATAAAACATGTAATAAAAAACAGCTAATTAAGGAACAAACTTGTCAAATGTGAATAACTAAAACAAAAAGTTTGCCACAACCAATATTCAGGAAATGAACACCGTGGTTCCTTTTGCAGTTGTAAATCAGACATGTTAGGTATTTTTCTGCCATAAAATTCATGGAAATGTAGCCAAGTTGTTATGGCAACCATACGTTCCTGATTTAGGGGTTTTTATATTCTTTAAATTTTGAGTTGTAGTGGCATTTTGAATTTCAAACATTTTACTATTGGTATTTTAAAAACATGGCTTGGGAATTTATGTTTAAAATGTAGTTACTAAGTTTGATGTGCAAAATGTCAGAGGATATACCCATATGATTCTATGCAGCTGAAATCTATAAGTGAAATCAAGTATTACAGAGCGAATCTGCACTGCCTACAATATTTAAATACTTTCCACATTTTCTCAACAGATAAAAAAAAACTAATTAAAAGCACTTGCAGACATTAGCCAATATGACCCATGAGAAAGAGAACATGAAAGTGCACTCTTTTGGACTCATTGAAGAATGAATATTTACACATAAATGGAATAGCTGCTGAACCCTTTTTGGGAAGTGAGACTAAGCAAATGAGATTTTCAAATATTCTAATAAACAATTAGCTAATGTTTTACATGAAAAAAATCAGTCTTAAGATTATTTTTTTTCCAAAAAATGTTATAGCCTTTATGTAAACTGATGATTTTCATGAAAGTGTCTCTAACAACTATTTAGCAGATTTTTGCACTGTGAAAACAAAAGTAGATGCTAACTTTCTCTTTAGCAGTTTGTTACTATTTGGATATTATTTTGTCAATGCAAATTATTATTATTATTATTATTATTTTAATCTTCATCTGCTTTTTGTCTTTGATACATGTTCTTTTCCATTTTTTTGCAGGTCGGGTTCAAGTAGGTTGCCGGGAGCTTCGTTCCACCAAATACATCTCTGATGGCCAGTGCACCAGTATCAGCCCTCTGAAGGAGCTGGTATGTGCTGGTGAGTGCTTGCCTCTGCCAGTGCTTCCTAACTGGATTGGAGGAGGGTATGGAACAAAATACTGGAGCAGGAGGAGCTCCCAGGAGTGGAGGTGTGTTAATGACAAAACACGCACCCAGAGAATCCAGCTGCAATGTCAAGATGGCAGCACACGCACCTACAAAATCACTGTGGTCACTGCCTGCAAATGCAAGAGGTACACCCGGCAGCACAATGAGTCCAGTCACAACTTTGAGAGTGTGTCGCCTGCCAAACCAGCCCAGCATCACAGAGAGCGGAAAAGAGCAAGCAAATCCAGCAAGCACAGCATGAGTTAGAACTCATACTCTCAGACTGAACTGCCTAGGAACCATCTGCTTTACAGATTTGATTGCTTGGAAGACTCAAGCCTGCCATTGCTATTTTCTCACTCGAAAGTATATGCTTTCTGCTTTGATAGAGCCCAGAAAACTGTCCTAAGTATCAGGACCTTCTCTGGGAATTGCTTTTCCTTTTCAAGTTCTTCAAGATATATGTATGTTCATGAGTGCAATTTGCATTTAAATCCCACACATCCTGTAGTTTTAATTCCCCATACTTTTTAAAACTATTGACACAATATACACCCCTAAACCCGAATCATTATATCCTAAAAGTGAAAAAAGGCTCTTTCACTCTCCATTCCCTAACCTATCTCTACCCTTTCCAAACAAAAATCCCTTCAAAACAGAAAAGTTTTTTTTTTTTTTTAAGTTGTTGCCATGAATCTTCCCAGTAACATTTCAGAAAGGTGCTTTTTTAGTAATTTTCAGGGGAACAATTTAGCAGGCAGAAGAGATTTTCTTTTGAAAGAAAGAGAAAGAACTTGTGACATTTCACTTCAAAAATAAGCCCTCTAGCTTTTTACAGTCTCATAGTATGAAATTATACCTTGCATGCTGACCCTCGCTTGGAATGGAATGCCAGAAATGCATGGCAGCAGCTAATAAGTAAAGCTGATTAACTATTTATTTGTCAATGTTATTATTTAATGAGCTCTCACATGTGATTTTTTTCAAAATGTTAATTTTTTTATGTTTTAAAGCTTTTTCATGTACCTAAATATTTTCCTATATGATTTGTGGTTGATCTAGATATATGAAATTACATGTAGATATGTAAAATAAATATTTTAGTCTCCTTATTACATATGTGTTTCATCATGAACTTTATCAAACATGGATCTTTGAAATCACTAAGATGCTTTGTAAAATTGAAATATGTAGTACTTTAGTCTGTGCAATCAGAAGGTGAATTGACCTTCAATTCTATTAGTTTCTTTTAACAAAAATAAACACTGCCAAAAGTTATTGTCCTTGTCTATAACATATATAAAGGGGCACATGTTTGCAAAAACTATGAAATAAAGGTATGAGAGTAATTTTCTTTTTAAGCTAGGATTGACCTCAGGGCTTTGTACATGCTAACCATATACTCTACCACTGACCTACATCCCCAGCCACATTTATTGCTTTTTTATTTTTATTTTTTTTTTACTGTCACATTCAAACATGGACAGAAATGTCTTTAATAAGTGAAAGGAAAGAGAGAAAAAAGGAGACCATCTCTTCAGTAAATGAGATGGTTGAAAAAGTTGGGTGGCAGTCCAGCAGTGAGTTGTAATAAGAATATCAAATTTATATATACCAGTAGATGCCAAGTCTGCTGTACATTATAATCACCTGGGGGAGATATTATAAGACCCAATGCCTTGGCTTCTATGCAAGTTACATCAGAATTTCTGTGGGTGGAATTCAGATATCAGCAGTTTTTGAAGTTCCAGGTGATTTCAATAGGAAGCTAAGTTTGAGAAGAAAGAAATTGTGAAAAATCAGTATCTTATGCTGGGAAACACTGAATACTAATGCTAATGTATGGTCCTCAAAACAAAACATAAAGAAACTCCCAACTTAAATTTCAGTGTTTTCAATTCTGGAATGTCGTCATATTAAACAACAGTGACAATCTTAGACCAGTTTATAGATCATTTGGCTTATGTGTTAATTCAACTTACTGATACCATCACTCAAAATAAAAAATTTTGAGGAAAATCAAAAGGAATGGGCTATGTGCTAGTAAGATTTCCTGGGTTTTCTGCTTCTGGATTCTGAGCATGGAAGACTCCTTAGTACTCTTTTTTTTTTTTAGTAGCTTGTTCTTCTTTTTGTAATTATAATCTAAAAATCACATGAATATTACATATAGTATAGTAAGCTAAATAAGGGCATTAATATTGTACCTTCCTTATAAGAGGTAAAGGTAGAAGGATTTCAACATATATAAAGACAAAAAAAGAAACCTCTAGATTTTATAATAATACTATTATATTATTAAATAAAGAAATAGTATCTGGGGTTGTGGCTCAGTGGTAGAGCGCTCGCCTAGCATGTACAAGGCCCTGGGTTTGATCCTCGGCACCACATAAAAATAAATAAAATAAAGATATTGTGTCCAACTACAACTAAAAAATAAATATTTTAAAAAAATAAAGAAATGATAGTCTACTATTGATTTTAGCTTCAATAACTAAGATAATAAGTTATTTTACATTATATCATATTAATACATGGGGCATTCATAATGATTATAGCTGAATATACCACAAACATATTATTTTATATATGTATTCTACTGGTTCAACCTTAACAAAGGATATTAAAGATAACATAGAAAACTTAAGATAATTGTTATGGTTTATATACGAGATATTCCCCCAAAAGCTCATGTGTGAGAAAATGCAAGAAAATTTAGAGGTGAAATGATTGGATTATGAGAGTTTTAACCTAATTAGTATATTAATCCCCTAATAAGGATTAACTGGATGGTAACTTTAGGCAAGTAGGGTGTGATTGGAGGAGGTGGGTCATTGGGGACATGCCTTTGGGGTACGTATTTTGTTCTTAATGAACAGATATCTATATCTCTCTCTCTTCCCCCCACCTTTCTAATTCCAATCCTGGTTCCATGTTTCTCTACCACACCCTTCCCCCAGTATGTCTCATCTTAGACCCAGAGCAATGGAGTTGGCCATCTGTGGACTGAGGTCTCTGAAACTGTGAACCCCCAAATAAACTTTTCCTCCTCTAATTGTTCTTGTGAGGTCTTTTGTTCACAGCAGTAAAATAGCTGACTAAAAAACAATTTAGCTATTTGTTCCTTATAATATAGCATCTTCTATAGAAGACCGTAGAAATGGCCTCAAGAATCAGTGTGTCATAAGATCCGAAGCATAAAAAAGATTTGACCTAGGAATAGCTTTACACCACCAAGAAGACCATGCTACTACCTTTTACAAACAGAACACTGAAGCAAATTTTTTTGGTAAAAATAAGATGCTACTGTCTTCACTGAGTTAACTACTAATAGTATATTAGTAAATATTCTGTAAATGTGCTAACAGAAAAATAGCATAAAAGAAACATATATAAGACTTCTGTATTCTCTGCTAAGCAAAAAATTGGATATATTTCTCCTGGTCATGTTCAATTTGCAGATCCATTTCAGGCCACGTTACATTGCTGATGCATTCTTTGCATGGTATTTAACATCAATGAGAGGAAATGGTCAGCAATCAATAGGAGAGGCCCAGTATAAAATTCATCTCTCAAGAAGTCAAAATTAAAAGTCAACAGAAAGAATATAGCTTTATAATAACAATTTAAGAATGACAGAAAGCACTTGTGTCAGAATTTCTGATTGTATTTTAGGTTCCTCTTATTTTATTTTTAGTTAATTCACATGTTCCATATTGATGAACTATATGCAATTTTATTTACTAAGTATCAATTCAAACTGGTGGATTGTAATGATTTAAGCAACTACTGATCTCTAGTTTACATTCAAAATATCTATCCATGAAAGGATTTACTTATCAAATTTGTTTTTGACACTATAGATAAAGAACTTTTTCCCTTTTTTTGAGGGAATCTCTCTATGTTGCCCAGGCTGGTTTGAACTTCTGGGCTCCAGCTGACCACCTCAGCCTCCTGAGCACTGGAACTACACACCTGTGTCACCTTGCCTGGCTGATAAATGGTTTGATAAATACATAGATGGACATATGAATAGACTGCAGTATATTGATATTTATAGATATATTAGATGTATGTGATATATATGATATACACATGTATATAAAGATAATGAAAGAAAAATTAGTAGCACATAAAAAATGAATAACATATATAGCATGCTAGATCTAAATCAAACATGGACATAGCCTTTTTTTTTCAATATCTATTTGAAGAAAAGTTAATATTTTAGTTATGGGTCATTTATAATTATTAATTTATGCTAGTTAAAATAACTAAGTAAATAAAAATAACTAATTAATAGTACTCTCTTAGTCATGTTTGTTTTATTGTACACATATAGAAAAACAACAAAAATTAGGGTGTGGTTGTGTATTTAATAAAAGATCGAATCAATTCATTCCTTCCCTTTTTCAAATGAGTAAGTTTTTTAACCCTACTCTGTAAATCATTACTGTATATTTACTATGATACTAGACTAATTGTTTACATAATGTGATCTATGAAATATGACATTTTTGATAGAGACTCAGAGTAATGGTCATAAGAAGCTTGGGGTGGAGAAAATAGTAGCAAAATGAGGAAACTTTGAAACTGCTGAATCAAAATAAAGCTTTTGGAAGTTAAATTTACTATGCTGAAATTTTCTTTTTTGCTACCACCGTAAAATTCTAGGTATCAAAACCTAGTTAAAATTAAACTATCATTTGGATTAGATTTAACTCTTGAAAGTTCTTGTGAGTACTAAAATGGTCATTCATTCCATACCTTAAACTCAACATTAACTTCTTCTAGTCATAAGCTGTAATAAAGAATGATACATAAGGCAAGTGTTTGGTGGAATCTATAAAAGAAACTTGGAAGTCTACAGGAAAAATAACAGGCTGCTCAGTGCAAGAGAGTAGTGTTTTCTTGTTAAGACTCTATGTCCTTCCCTCAAGGTCAGATTGGGATGACTTTCAACATGGTTTCATTAGAACCTATTAAAATAATGTTCTATGTTAAAATCGGTTTAGATTTATGAACTAAGTAGACATTTGGCCACTAGAAATCTTTGTTACATCCACAAAGAGGGACCTGATGGGACAGATATCTTGAAGGTCATTATATTCTTGAGTGTCACTTGCCAGATCCATTAGTGGGTGCATCGTTCCTATAACACATGTGGTACACTGTCCTGTATATTTTGCAATTTGTCTTAAAGAGATATAGGGTAACAACTACTGCAGAAATTCCACTAGGGAGATGTTTTAATTTCCAGGATTGAGAATTGATTAAAATTAATTATTGCCAAACTGACTACATAAATATTCCCAGAGCAAATTAGACAGAGTGAGAATCTATCATCTACATTGGCTGACTGGCCAAAACATTTATGTAAAACAGTTTGAAGGATTTCTTATGAAGGAATGTATGCTTTCCTTTAATTTAAGTAACTGAACCAACAGTTATCTTGTATTACTGACTTAATTTTTAGCAGTGGAATTCGATGCTTGAACGTGAGGTAGATGTCTAAATTGAATGATACTGTCAATGACTCAGACAAGTTTTACCCAAAATTTATTGTTATTAAAACTGATCAAGTGTTTGATTTGATTTTTAAATAAGTTACTGTTAAAATATAGTATTTTACATAATCAATCTTTATAGTATTTTATATACTGAATCTTTCATTAGAAGCAAATTCCTCCTTTGAAACTTATTAATATTGTATAAATTTTAAAAATCCTTTATCTTACAATAATGACAACTTCATCACAAAATGATCATTTTAATCCTTTTATTAATTGAATCTTTCATATAAATTTGATATTCAAATATAGCCTAAATCACTGAACCTAGTCATTCAGTAACCAAAACTGTTTAACAATCCTCTATAATCTCTAATAAGCACTACATCTTATGTAAAATAGTTAACAATTTTTCTTGACTTGAACTTTCTGTATAACTGCCTTGATTCCCCTTTTAGTTTTCATATATAGTTTATGTTATAAAAATTATTTCCTTGCCTTTTTCTAACTTTCTCAAGATCAAAGGGTGAAAAGAATTTTTTATTGCCAAAATATTTTTTGTTAAAAATCAAAGACAAGAAAATGTCAAATGCATTTAATAATCTATTGAAAGGATACTATTTTGCTTATTTGTTGACATGATCTTTCTTAATTGATAATTAATTATTGAAATTTATTATTTCTATACTAGTAAAAATTATAGAAATTTATTATTTCTATACTAATAAAGATTTTATGTTTAATCTCTGACTTAGTATGATATCTTAA